TGGGAATCTTTAGAAGACATGTTAATTGACAAGTACTTAAGAACCTACTTTTTACTTTAGAGGCATACTATTGTACTTTTGTTAGTTCACGTTTTTATAGCGTTAACGTTTCGTTATTGTATTCGCATAACGAAATATAATATAATGCTCATCGTCAGTCAGCACGATTCCTTTTTAGAAAATGTCCAGCAATGAGGGTATACCAGAGATGCTCAAATAAAGAAACGATGCCGTTTCGCTTTGTTAATATAAAAATTAACGAAACAAAATCATTTCAGCGCCATGAAATTGGTAACGTTTAAACCGCACCAGCTCCTCGTGTACGTTAATTTTAAAATTGATGTATGTTATGCTGTTAACAGTGCAGTTCAATTTTAGCGCTTAACATTATCTGTTAAGTATTTAACATTAACGACAGCTTTTTGCTTCGGGTAAAAAAGAAATGAACTTTATTTTTATAACTGCTTTAACGTTAAAAATCCCAAATTTTCCAACCGAATCGATTGAAGGTTTTTAGCTAACGATTAAATTTAGCGTTACGGCGCACGCGAACTCCAAACTCATCCGTGCCTCTAGAGCTCATAACTATTTAGTCACTACGAAGTCTAACAAATTTGATTAATTTCAGCTTTGTCAAATAGGTATCTGTGGCATAACTTTTTTTAATACATGTGTATGTATATATGTGTGGAGTAAGCGTAAGACTATATCCGTCTAAAAATTTGTATTTTCAGTTCAGTTCAGTTCATTCAAATTTTTTTTTTATTTTGGAAATATTTTCAATGGAGAACAGGTCACTATTTGGCTCAAATTTTTAGTCCCATTTAAAAAAAAACATAAAGAATTTTGCTGAATATTTGTCAATTTTAGAGGTATTAAAGTCAATATAAAAAAAAAAACTAATAAAAAATAAATAAATATTTTCTTTCATTTATCAGCGCTTGTACATACATATGTGTATACATACATTCCAAATAACAACAATAAATGGCACCCACTAAAAATTCATATTTCCGCTATCTTTAAGAAATGGTGAAAGGAATGGAACACGAATACCAGAAACAACAACAACATGTATTCATTACCACAACCATTAGTATGTTGCAACAAACTACTCAGCGCAGCTGTGTCTACCGCACACGCTTGATTCAGCTCAGTGCAGATACACAGCTTTGCGTACATATGAATATTTGAAAGTCTACATATGTATGTATGTACGGAATACTACATATGTAGCTGCCATTTTTTCCGCCACTTTGTCTGCATACAAACTGTCTAGCTGTCTGTGGCAGCGTCTAGTTGCTATTTTACACTATCCCACCACAGACAATTCGCGCTTTTCGTTCACCGTCATCATCACTGCTGTTGTTATTATTGCTGCCACCATTCTAGCTTGTTGATGATACTAGCAATAGAAAGTAGCGCTGTAGCATCCATTGGCTCACCTCTCTTCCCCTAACAATCTTACATACAGGCGCATGGAAATAAAGTGGCATTGCAAATGTCGGCTGCAGTCTGCATACAATACCATTGTTACATTGTTGCCACTCAATCCAACACACACACGCGCTTTATTATTTTCATTGCCACGTTCTATTCTAATTTATTTTGTCTTTTGCAATATTTTTTGTTTTTTTCTCCTTTCGTCTGTACACTAAACGTTTGCTTCTTCTGCTGCTACTTCTTCTTCTTTTGCTATTGTAGCGCCGAATTAGATAATGTAGTAACAGCATTTGCACTTGGCAGTTGCCATTTGCAAGCTTATGCTGCAACTACCCATCTAACGTACCTTCTTATGAGAGCGCCATGTAAAAAAAGCTTGCCGATGCCGCTACTGACGGTTGTTCCGCAGAAACCAGCTCAGCTAATCCCTCGCTGTTGCACAAAGTTGCCACTATTCACTTTTTTTAACTAATTTTAAATATACAAGGAAAATGCGTTGACTTTTTTTTCAAAAAAAAAAAAAATATATATAAAATAAAACGAAGTTCGTAATCAATTATTTATTGCCATATAAATCATTTATAATTAATTGGCTTTTATATTCAAACATTTAAATTATGCAATTCGTTGACGACAATTATAAATTTGTTCAGAAGTTTGCAAACACACTGGCAGTCGGCAACATTTCGTCGCTGCTAGCAGCGTCGGCAACTCGGGTATGCATATCGCACTTCCAGTCGGGTGTTATGGCTGTGCGGTATGTAAGAGGGGTATTTGCAGCATTACAAACTTGCCACTCGAATGTGCAGCTAGTTTGTATATCTGTATGTGATGTAGTGCACATATACACTTAGCTACACGTATGTGTGATTATATCTCTATGTATGTACATATGTGTTTTGTATATTACATTTGTTGTCTGCAACAATCGATTGCTTTTAAATGACATTTCGGTATGACTTTATTGAAAATTCTTGTATGCAATACGTGTGCGCTTTACAGGTGTTAGTGCCGTCTGTGGCATCATTCATGTCTACTCTCGCGTTCAATGCACTCGGTCAGTGTACATGTATACATACACGTATCTATGTATTCATGCAGCAGTTGCGCGCTGTTGTTTTAGTTTCAGCAAAAACGTCCAAATTACATTTCGATTTGTATTGAATCTTCTTATTTGCGGTGGCTGAAGTGGCAAGCTCAGTGTGCATCGGAGTGCAATAAAATATTAAATTGCATTTGTATTTGTTTAAATTAGAGAGCGCGGAGCTACTTGCTTGTTTAAGGTACTTAAAAAATAGCTTATAAATTAAAAATAAGCGAAGATCTCATTTCATACATCTAGAAATTTTGCTCTATTCCAAAATTTCTTTATTTTACTTTTGTTCTTGACGAGAAAAAACTACTACATATTCATTTTAAATAAAATATATATATATATACATATAGGTAATTTAACTAATTCTATAAATTTCGATTTTCTTTTTCCAAATTCTGCTTTTGTGGTGAAGAGCGCTTGGGGAATTATGATATACGAAAAGTGTTAATAATCTCTTTTATTGTGATTTTTAGGTGATTAACTTTCATGCAACGCGAGAAAATATTTTTAAATTTTTAATTAACATCCTATATTAAAAATCTTTAAAATCTAAAAATTTACAGCCTATCTTATGAGAGCGCCATATAAATTGAAAATTACTACCGCTTGATGATGCCGAAACTGATTTTTGTACCGTAAAAACTAGAGCTCAAGATTTGGTTAAAACATTTTCGAGTAGCTCGTGCATGATCAATTCGAGTTTTTTCGGTCATGTACAGTTTTAATAAAAAAAAATACATTTTCCTGAGAACTGTTATCAAAAATTTTAAATTTATTTAGGCAAAGTGTAAATTTCATTGAAATACTAAAGAAATTTCCACTAACCAAATTGAAAATTTATAAATTTTCAAGAAATGTTTGAACAGCTGAGCAACGAACGAGTATCGAGATGCTCGCATGGCTCGAAAGCCGGCTGCTTAGAGCTCTTTTAGAAATCAGCAGCGAGTTGAATTTTCCAATAAAATTTTCTCAACTCATTTCGCTATAATGTACAATATTACCATTCGAGTTTTTTTTTTAAATAAATTTAAAATGAATTAAGTAAATTCAGTTTTAGTTTCTGAAGTGCTGAAGTAGAGATAAATTATTTATTGCAATATAGTTTAAGTATACTGATTTTGCGTTTAAATGCGAAAATATAAATTATGAAATTTTCCTTGACGAAATTCGCTTAAAAATGTGCAACATTTTGCTGCTGTAAGCTAGTACAGCAACCCTATACTGCGTATCCCTCTTCCAGTCGGCTGGTATAGCTAACTTGGCTATAAAACAAAGTGTCTTTTTTTGTGCATTTCTCTCTCTCTCTCTCTCTCTGCTTTTAGTTTTCTTAACAGTATTCTCTCCATTACGTTGAACTGGGAGAAAAGTGCAGAAGCAGCGTTAGACAGGTTGTTCAACCTTCACAAAAAAGACTGAACTGAGAAAACATGGATTTTAATTAAAAATCTCTCCTCAAAAGCAAAGGCGTTTCAAAGTCACTTTTTTCAATAATATTAGCCCTGTACGATGATCCACAAGCCAATTCGAAATAGCGAAACTTATATAGAACTTTATCACCTAGTATATATTGTATCTTTCAAAGAAAGTAACTTCAAATGTGGTTACTTCAAAGAAAGCTTTCGAAGTTCGGAAAAAAATAGAGTGTGAACGTTATGACAATAATAAAGAATAACTGAACATAACTAGAGACTCTTTCAAAAGAAAATCTGCCATGACTTAGTTAATACTTCTAGTTGGTATTTAGCGTTTTATTTCCAAAAAAAAAAATAATTGCACATATACATATAAATGCTCAAAGAATACTTAAGAATCCATCAAAAAACAATAGAGGAAGAAAACTCGAAAATCAACCATCAATAACGGACGACTCGTGTAGCGAAACGGATTGTTAAAAATAGAAAGAAAAACTAAGAAAAAATCACTCCAGTAAACGGTATGCAGTGTGCCACAAAAGGTTAAATGGGGTTACGCTTGTGTGCGCCTTGTGCAACAGCAGCAAAAAAGTAGCCAAAAAGTGGCAAAACAGTAGGAGAATAACAGTAGTAGTGGAAGGCGAAAATGCAGAAAAAATATGTGATAAGCGTATCAAAACAACAAAAGTAAAACACAAAGGCGTGATGCTTGGTACGAGATTGCGAGCTTTAAGCTATAAAGCCGAGATAAATTGAATTTTATCAGACTGGAATAAAGTTGAAAAAAGACGAGAAAATAAAAAAATATATATATATATATATCTTTCACTGCGAAAGCAAATTATTATCGACGGTAAATTACAAAAGATATGTATGTGTGTTTAATTCTAATAATATATGCTCCATGCAAGTAAAATATTCAGAGTAACCAATCAATTTATTATCAGTGCAACTAATTAATTTTCCAAAGTATACATATCTGATAATTCACTTTACTTATTGGTTCATAATTCATTTCATTTTATTGCTTTATTTTCTTCTCATTACAGGTAAATCATTTCATCATAAAATATGTAATTTGAATCATTTGTACACTTGAGTTATTTGTAAATGTAATTTAACGCCTGGTTAGACGGCATCTCTAAAACCGTTTCACAAGTTCAAGCAGACGAATAGAAATGAAAATGGAGCAGTTGAGAAATAAGTGAGTACAACTGACAGCCAAGTAATTGCCAGAGAGGCGAGTAAAGCACGAAAGAGTGCGTGTGTGTGTATGTGTGTGTGATGCTTCAATGATGGAGAGTGTAAACTCAAGTGTAAAATTAGCATTTAAAATACATACATACGAACATATGTATATGGAAATGTGGTAACATCAAGCTGTTAATTAAAGTGAGAGAAAAGTCATTAAACTATTCACTCGTTCGCTAAGAACAAGTGCTGCACAGTGAGCATGAGCAAATGTGCAAATCTATCACATGCATAATTATACTACATACATATATACATAAATTATATAATGATGTCATGTAGTTAGAAGCAAATATTTTAATTAAACTCATATCTACTTATAAATATGTTGGGCCTTGCGAGTAGAGTACCTTAGCGCATAGCAACACATTTTAGCAGTGACATAAAAAAAGAGAGATATTTTTAAATTTGAATATTTTTGAATAAAAATTGTTTGCCAAACTATTATTTGTTCTCTTGTGAAATTAAATATTTTTTTTTTAATATTTCTATTAATTTACAATGGAGATAACCTCATCTATGTACCCATTTGACTACTAAAAATATACAGGGTGCGCCATCTACTGTATATGTGGTCAATGGAAATATTAAATAAGTTGAACAATTTTCATTGAATTTTGATATAATTTTTTCAGTTATCAAATCAAATGGCCCCGTTCATTGCGCAAACAAAATTTCGCTAATTTTTCGGCATTTTCCATGACATTTCCTAGCTACTCGGGCGATATCACTACGATTTCAGCACGAATGATTTTCTTCAGCTCGTCCAAAGTCTTCAGTTTGTTGGCATATATTTTGCTCTTCAAAAAGTCCCACAAAAAAGCAAAAAAAAAAAAAATCTGGTGCAGTCATATCAGTGGATCTTGGTGACCAGTCAATATGCCCTCCTTTTGATACCACACCAGAGTGTGCCAACATCCATACATACATAGCTGAGATTGTATTGGAATAAACTTTCCAAAAAGCTTTTAATGCACGCAATCGACCGAAGCATGCACCGAAGAATGTTAGAAAAATAGAAATTCCATCTAAGGCCTACTATTGGGACACTTGTAGCAAAAAATAGTTCTTCCACATGAAAAGAATATAAAGCTTATTCTTCAGAAATTGGAAGTTCATAGCTAGCCTTCAAACGGACATTTGTTGGCTACCCAGCGCATGATTGTTCTAATGCTGCAACCATGTAAAGGATGTATCTAACCACTCTTCGTTGAATTTTTAGTGAAAAAAGGGATGCCACTGTCTGCGGCAATCGCCGCGGAACTGGTCTCCTAAATAACGCGTATTGTGTCAAAGACGCTGGACAATATCAGAAGCGCATTTAGAATTAGGAAGTAACTCTCTGAGCTAATAAATAATAAAAGCTGCAGCGCTAAGCAGACACGACCGTGATGATATTGACATCAAAGGCCTTAACAACTGCGCCGTTATTTCTGCCTTCTACAAATTTAATGAAGAAGTGAAGTGAATATGTATGGTAGAGACGGTGCATGAGACGAAATATCGGTCCTGCTCCAACGTCACTTGCCAGTCTCAACTTTGAAGTCCATCTCGTCCTGCCAGAAGGTGTGGAGTCATGGACAAGAATAACATCTGATGTATCGGCGTTAGGAGTTTTCGAGATAAAGTTTTTGCTTAGGATTTATGGAACGGGTAATACCGCAGACAAAGGGATGATGAGAAAATCAAAAAATAATGGCAGGACAGAGCAGGACGAAGGTCTTCATTCCTTTAGAATGATCAGGTGGTGAGCGACCTGTTTTGGCTAAAATAGCTTAATATAGAAAAATAAGAATATAGCAGCCAGCAATTGAAAATGTGATGGTATCGAAAACCTAATTACTTGTATAGAATTTGAAAGTTTGGCTAATATTGTTTTCAAACGTTTTGTTGTTGTTGTAGTTGTAACCGCAAAAAGATTCCCCAAAGTACTTTGCGTGGAGTGACAGTCATTGGCCGGATAAAAATCCGGGTCGTTCCGGTATAAAGACCCGACTGTCGCTCACCTCTTACGACAGTATACCTTACCGCGAGTGAATTCTTTAACCCATAACCCGGAGGTTGTCACTGCTTAATTCACAAAACATTTCATGCTTTCCGATGAAATACCTAAACATTTTTATTTTGATGTTCAATGATTTTATATTTGATCTTAATCAACGCAAGACGCAACTGAGTTCTTTCCGCCTCGAATAAGGTTCTACAGTATCACATGTTGGAGAACGACATATCGAAATCTTCGTAGTGAAAATTGTAATCTCCTTTCTGCCTTAGGTATACGCTACACTAGAACACATTTTGCCTCCCATTCCAATGTTAGTTTATTTTTATGTTCTTCCATCCTTGACCACACTCTCGTCAGCCGCCACAGTAGCGTCTAAGCGAATGACGAACGTTTTAACGGTTTCGCCTCAGCAATCAATCTATTTACGGTGCCGCATCATTGCCTCTTTAATCAACACTAACAAGCTACACGCCAATGAACACTGTCATCACCAGCATTACAGCGAAACAACAAGAATAGCAATAAACTCAACTATCAACTTGATGTCTCTATAAATGCCTGTGTGTGTATGTGTATGTACGTTTGTATGCAAAATCACTCTGATCACAGAAGGCGAATACACAGTTTTATAGGTTTTATTTACTACTAAATACTTAGTATTTAAGTTGCATGCCACATATAGCAAATCTGTCGATGCTATTTCAGTGCAACGATCCGCAGCATTTGTACGTTCAACGAACGCGAATATTCTTTGCTTTTTTGCCATTTCAGTTTTTTTTTTTTTAATTTATTTGCTATCTTTTATTGCCCGAGAAGCCAAGTGCAGTACCTAGTCAGAGCGTCTAGTTCACATAAAAAGTACATATGTATATATTTAAGTATATATGTATGTATATATATGGGATTATTTGTTAGAGTTGGAGTCGTATTTAATGTGGGACATAATTGAAGTTGCTGTTTGGTAGCTGGACATCAATGGCACTCGTAAGCGGCCTTCAATGCACCAGTGGCGGCTGGAGCTTCTGCTGCTGCCACTGTTGTTTCGCTATTAAACCGTAATTTTCCACAACCGGCTATCTAACTTGGGCTATTTTTATTTTTGAATTTATGTTCCATTATTCCTTTATTCCCTTCTCCTCATTCTGCTTCTTACCTACTTTCATTTAACTTTTACTACATACCATTTGTTGTTGACGGCTGCTTTTGACGCTTAGCTGATAATTGTAATGAAGCTTGTGTGCGCGCGGCGCGCTATGTTGATGAACTGTGAAAATTATTATCGCCTCGTTGCCATTGCAAAAGCCAAGCAGCAGCTAGCGAGCATAAAAAAAGGAACAGAAAAACAAAGTTCATTTTAATGTTGAAAACATGTTGGGAATTTATGCGCGCGAAAATTTATTTATCTTATTTTTATTTCCAACTTTTCAGTTGTGGAATTTCTATTTATTACTTCAACGCCTCAACAGACAGACACTTGTCTACTACGCTCTGCTTGTATGTGTGTGTGTGTGTTTGAAATTGTCAGTCGCCGCCTGGTCCACTTATCACTTGTTGTTCACAGCTTCGCTGGTCTTGGCATTTATGCTATTGTATCATGCGGTACTTGTTGTTGCTGCAGTTGTTTTTCAACTTGTCGTCATGCAATTAAAATCAACAACTTTACTTGAAGTTCATCAGTGTTGTCATCAGCAGTACTGACACAGCGACAAAGCGCAAAATTCCAACCATTATTATTTTTTTATTATTATATTATATTTATGTATGTGTGTATAGAAAATAGCATTAAGCGTAGAGAATAGCATAAATTTCTGACGCTACAACTCAATTCACACCCGACTCTAACAGCGTAAGCGGGGTGGGGCAAGGGGTTGGTGGGTTGCATTCATTACTGTCACATCTTAATTACACACAACTGCATATTTAATTTTTTTATTAATTGAAAATTTTGCTAAAAAAAATGCCTTCACAAATAAAAGCCATAATACCCGCGAATTGGTGTTAATTATGAGAAAACAGAGACACAAAAGTAATTTAGCAATGAATGTGGGAGAAATATAAGTAAGTGCATATGTACATATGTCCAGTTCCTTTCACCCGTGCTACATTTTGGAGCTGATATACGTGTATATAGCTTATCGACTGGATCCGGCTTTCTTCTTCAGATTTCGATAGCTTATTGCCAACACTAATAACTTTGCTGATTAAGATACGCGGAGAGTACCCTTCGTTCCGGCTTAGTCTATTTTTAGTTGACTGTATTTGGCCGCAGAATCAACAAAATTTGCATGTATTTTTTTTATATAAAGGCTCTGACTGTTATACCGAAGATACGTTTTTTTGACTTAATGACTGAAATAGCGCTTAAAACAGCGTTGCTGGTGTTCATAAGAGTGATTGATAACTTTTCAAGAATTTAATTATTTCTCGTTATTACTGGTCTCGAATCTCTGGCTACACTGGCTGGCTGATGTGCCGCACATACACCCTTTGATCTTTTGTAGTGCTCGATAGTAGTGTTACATTCCCAATTGAGGTGTAGCAGTTGTCATATAGGACTTTCTGATACCTGACATTTAGACTTTTTCTGATCCACCGAACTGCAAAGGTCTCAAATGTCTGAGTAAAGTTATTGATAAGGCTAAAAAGAAACAAAGAAGATGTCCTAGCATCTCACACATGCTTGCCGCCATACATTTTCTGTATAAATGTGTTACTGTCCGCAGATTATGGCCGATTATTAGAACTACAACAATCTTGCAGTGTTTTGAAGATATATAGCCAAAAACTGGGAAGATGTTCTTTCCTTCATTACTTTGGTAAACCTGTAACTCACTACACCGTTGCTTCTCGTTCGCTAATCCGCTTTCCAACTACAAAGGCTGGCCTTGTGGTAGTCTGTTCTGTGGAGCTTATTTTTCCAGCATATCTTTGACTGTGTGACCCTTTGACTGCATTGACGAAACGTTTTCGGGTTTTAAGTTAATGTTCAGGAACGCTGAATTTGTAGTTAAGTTGAAAAAAAAAGTTCAACAGTGTCAAATCGTAGCTGCCAGGCGGGAAATTCACATCAATCTTCAATATTTCACAGTTGCTTTTGAAAATTATTCATGGTGGAAATAAATTTTCAATATTTTCACTCAAGCGCATTTAACTATGAGACATGGGGAATGTAACTGAAGATATTAAAGCTCAAAATAAATAGTTTCAAATGGTTTACTCATTACGTACTGTTCTAGCTCAGGCGCCTGATTTTCGTACTCCGTAATTTCGTTTCTCAGAATATCCTTGTGGTGTGGAATCCAGTAGATATGCAGTTTTTTTCCTGCGGGAAACATTTTCCTCGAATGTTTTTTCCTACAGCTTTGGATTGCCCCGAAGTTTTTCCCAGTAGCGAGATTTCCGCTTGGAAAATACTGGAATAATCCGTCAGTCTCAATGGCTGTCTGCCATATTTGATCCTTCTATCCTTCCTATTCGCTACTCCCCTTAAAAATAAAATAAAAACAAACATATTTTTTGTAATCGAATTA